AATCTGGGGGGACCCCATTTTTCCAGCTTTGGGGGGATTCAGTGACCCCCCAAAATGGGGACTGGAGGTTCCTTCAGGGGGACCCTGCCCCACTTTTGGGTGTTTTCAGCCCATTTTTGGCCATCGGGATGGGGACAGGGTGACAGCCCCCGGTGTGCCCACCCCCCCAAACCCCTGTGTGTGTCCCCCCCCAGCTGAGCCAGCTCTATGGGGTGCCCCCCTGCAGCAACGTTCCCAATTTTGGGGGGACCCCATTTTTTCCAGCTTTGGGGGGATTCAGTGACCCCCAAAATGGGGAGTGGAGGTTCCTTCAGGGGGACCCTGCCCCACTTTTGGGCGTTTTCAGCCATCGGGATGGGGACAGGGTGACACCCCCCGGTGTGCCCACCCCCCCAAACCCCTGTGTGTGTCCCCCCCCCAGCTGAGCCAGCTCTATGGGGTGCCCCCCTGCAGTGACCCCCTGCAGTTCCTGGCCCACCTGGCCCGGCGGCAGGGCCGGGCTCCGCCCGGGGGGGCTCCCGGACGCCCACGCTGCCGCCACGGCCCTGCTGCGCGACTGGACCAGGTCTGTGGGACAGGGACCCTCTGGGGCGGGGTCCCCACACCCTGAGCCCTCTTTTAGGGGGGTTGGGAGGGGTCTTCCCACATCCTGAACCTGTTTCTGAGGGGTTGGGAGGGTTCTCCACACCCTGAGCCCCTTTTTAGGGGGGGTTGGGGAGGGTTCTCCACAAACTGAGCCCTTTTTTGGGGGCCTGGGAGGGGTCTTCCCACACCTTGAGCCTGTTTCTGAGGGGTTAGGAGGGGTTTCTTCACCCTCACCCCCTTTTTTTGGGTGGGTGAAGGGGTCTTCCCACACCCTGAGCCCATTTCTAGGGGGTTGGGGAGGGTTCTCCACACCCTGAGCCCCTTTTTGGGGGGCTGGGGAGGGGTCTTCCCACACCCGGGAGGGGTCTTCCCACACCCTGAGCCCCTTTTTTGGGGGGGCTGGGAGGGGTCTTCCACACCCTGAACCTGTTTCTGAGGGGCTGGGAGGGGTTTCTACACCCTGAGCTCCTTTTTTGGGGGTTTGGGAGGGGGTCTTCCCACACCTTGAGCCTGTTTCTAGGGGTTTGGGAGGGGTTTCTACACCCTGACCCCTTTTTTGGGTGGGGTGGAAGGATTTTCCCACACCCTGAACCTGTTTTCTGAGGGGTTTGGGAGGGGTTTCTCATCCTGACCCCTCTTTTAGGGGGCTGGGAGGGGTCTTCCCACACCCTGAGCCCATTTCTAGGGGGTTGGGGAGGGTTCTCCACACCCTGAGCCCATTTTTTGGGTGGGTGCAAGGGTCTTCCCACTCCCTGATCCCCCTTTTTTCCCCCACAGTGGGAAGATCACCTACTACACCCACCCCCCCAAATCTCAGGGGGGGTGCAGCTCGAGGCCCAAATCCTGCCAGAGCTGGGGCCAGCGCTGGACCTGGAGGCTCTGGAACGGGGCGATGCCGAGGCCCTGGCAGGTGAGAACACCTGAACCCTCCTATCCCCCCTCGGGGACCCCCCAAAACTCACCTGGACCCCCCCCCACAGCTGTCCCAGTGACGGTGACAGGGCTGGAGCTGTCCCCGGAGGAGGAAGGGGAAGAAGCCATGGAGGACAGCAGCGGCGACCTGGAGGTGGGAAGGGATTTGCTGAGGTTGGGGGAGGTTTTTGGGGGATTTTTGGGGTTAAATATTTGACCCCCCCACAGTTTGGAACGATGACAGTGGAGCTGAAGCCCCGGGTGAAGTCGGGGGGCACTGGGGGGGAGCCGGTGCCCCGAGCCCCCAGCCTGGAGGAGGTGGCTGCGCTCCCCCCTCTGTTCCAGGGGCAGGGGCTGCAGGCAGCTGGGAAAAAGAGGAAAAAACTGCAAAAAAGAGCACGTAAGTGAAGACACCCCCTTTTTTCCTGACCCCTTCCAAACCTCTCTGACCGCCTCCCTTCACATTCCTGATCACCCCCATCCCACAGAGAAAATTGCCACGAAGCTGTCGGAGACGTTGGAGGCGGCCATGCAGTTTTGAGGCATCTACAAATTAAATAAAAATATTATATTTAATTGAGAAGTGGTTAAAAAAAAGCTCTATTTTAGAAATAGAAGAGCTTGAGGAACGGGGGTGCTGTAGGTGTGGTTTGAGGGGTCTCTTAAGTAGGAGGTTGAAATGTGGAGGTTTTTGGGGGTCCCCCATGTCCCTGTGGGGGTTTTGGAGGGGGCGAGTGGGGTTGTAGAGCCCCCCTATGATAGAGGGTACCCCGTTTTTACAGCTGACTCAGCAGATTTAATGCTCTGCCACTTAATGAACCTCAAAATTGTGGTCAAGGGGAGTGCTCAGCATTGGGGCTGCACCCCATTATTGAGAGCACTCCACGTCTACAGCCTCTCTAATCCCTAAAGCACCCAATGCCCCACTCTGACATTATGTGAGCCCCCCAACCCTACAGAGCACCCCAAAAACCACTTTGAACACCCCAAACACTTCCTGAGGTCCCACACCTCCCCAAAACCCCCTTGTTCACCCCCAAAAAGGCACAGGGTGCCTCCCCAAGCCATCAGCCTTACCCCTCACAGCAGCCTCAGCTGTTCATGTGTTTGTGCACCTCATATAAAGGTTTCCTCGGGATTTTGGGGTGCCCCCAATATCCCATTGCTGGGCTGAGGGGGCACCAAGCTCCCCTCAGCCTCCGCCGCCATTTTGCCACCTGCGGGAAGGGCCCTGGCAGTGCGTTACAGGTGGTGGCGGCCGCACAGGTGCTTCCAATAACGACTGTTAAGGCCAAGGGAGGGGCCAAATGCACCACTGCGAGTCATTTTTGGGGTGTTCTGCGGTTTTTTTCCACCTCTTTGCCACCATTTCGCCGCCGTGAGGGGGGCGGCAGGGGCGGGGGGGGGGGGGGGGGGCGCGAGACTTTTCCCGCCTTTTTCGCCACCTGATGGGGGGAGGGGGGTTGGAGCGCGAGACTCGCACGGCGGGCGCCAGGGGGCGGGGCCAGCTCCGCCTCTCGGCCAATCGCGGCGCGGCGATGGGGTGGTGGGCGGGGCGAACGGGGGCTGGACCAATGGGAAGCGGGGCTGGCGCGGGGGAGGGATCGGCGGGTGTGGGCGGGGCCAGCGCAGTCGCCGTCGGAGCGCGGTCGGGGACGGTTCGTGGCCGGGCCTTAGAGAGAATTTCTGCGGCCTTGCTGAGGGTGGGACGCGGTGGGCGGCCTTAGAGGCTCTCCCGTCGCGGTTTTAGCCCGCCCGGTGCTTGTTTTCCTCTCAGAACCGCTGTGAGAAATGTCGCAGCGGAAGCGCAGCAAAGGGCTCGGCTGCTCTCAGGTGAGAGGCTGCTCCCCCCACACCCCCGTTCTCCCCTCATTTACTCTCCCATTCTCCCCTTCTCGTTTTTTGTCCTTTATCTATCATCAAATTGCCTCGTTTCTCCTGGTTTTCCACTCAGACGACCGATGGGGAGGATGATATCATCCCGACCCAGGTGGAGCGGCACTCCCAGGACCGGGTGAACCAGAAGGTGGATTGAGGTGATCCCCTCTCTACCCTCCCCAGGATTTCTGAGTCTGCATTATTTTGATATCAGCCCGCTCTGTGCCTTCCCTGCTCATTCCCCCACAGGTGAGTGAGCTGGTGCAGTTCCTGCTTGTGAAGGACCAGAAGAAAATTCCTATCAAAAGGGCAGGTACGTTTAGGGGAATCCCTTTCCTCGGTGTTTAAAGCTTTTTCTGGGTGCTCCAGGCTCTCTCAGCGTTCCCTGCCTGTTTTTTTTGCAGACATGCTGAAGAATGTAATTCGAGAATACAGGAATGCCTACGCAGAAATTGTCAGAAGGGCTGACAGGATCCTGCAGGAGGTGGGGAAAGCACGGAAGGGGGGAAGGTTTTGAGGGGAGAGACCTCGTGGATTAATTAATTAATTAATTAATTAACCCTTTTTCTCCCGCAGGTGTTCGGGCTGCAGCTGGTGGAGATTGACACCAAACGTCACATTTATATTCTTATTAATAACCTGCCTCACGCTGAGGGCCAACACCTGTGCAGGTGAGAGGGGGACCTGGGTGACTCGAACCCCATCAGGGTGTCCCCCCCAACACGGGTGACACCCCAGTGTCACCCCCAGGGGCAAGGAGAAGGAGGAGATGGGGCTCCTCTTGGTCATCCTCAGCTTCATCTTCATGAAGGGCAACTCAGTCAAAGACAGTGAGTTCTCCCCCAAACCCCCCTCCCTGTACCCCGATTTTTCTTTCTCACTGACACCCCATTTTCCAGGTGCTTTGTGGGAATTCCTGCATTTGCTCCGTGTGTACCCAGGGTAGGATATGGGGACACGCAGGGACGGGGTGGGGGACGCTCAGTGCCACCCCTCACTATCCCCCCTACCCCATCCTCAGGAAGCAGCACAGCGTGTTTGGGGACGTCAGGAAGCTGGTGACAGAGGAGTTTGTCAGGCAGAAGTGAGTTGGAAAGTCCTGGGGAGGGGAAAGGGATCATTTTGGGGGGGGTTTCACCCCATCCCTCCCTCCCTCCCGGTGTGCCCAGAGCAGCCTCAGCACCAGCTTGGCCGGGCTGTTTATACCACACCGCAGAGCAAAACCTGCAGCCCCCACACCCCGTGCCTTAAAAGGTCCCTCACGGGGTCAGGGGAGAGCTGGACACCCCCTCTGTGCACCCCAAAACCTGCTGGGCTACCTGAGACCACCCCCAACCCCTCTGCAGGTACCTGGAGACCACCCCCATCCCCCTGACGGACCCCCCAGAATTCAAATTCCAGTGGGGACCACGGGCAGAGAAAGAAACCTCCAAGAAGGACGTGCTGAACTTTGTGGCCAAGGTGAGTCCACGATTTTGGGGGGCATCTCTGAGTTTTGGGGGGGCTCAATTTGATGCCCCCTCCCCTTATTTTTCTCCCACTCCTCAGATGCAGGGCAAGGACCCTGCATTTTGGGCGAGCCAGTACAGCGAGGCCGAGGCCAACCAAGCCACCACCTGACCCCCCCCAAAAAAAATAAAATCACCCCCCCTGTTGGTGTGCAGCCCCCCCAAAATGTCCAGACTGGGTTGTACAAGGTTTAATTTTGGGGTGGGGGCTCCCCTTTTTCTCAGGGGGACCCCTCAAAAGTGCTCGGGGACGGTGTTGAGGGCGTCGGCCGCGGTGCGGTTGATGTCGACGTTCTGTGGGGTGAAAATGTGGGGTTTTGGGGGATCTTCCCAAAATGTAACCCCCTCCTCAGTTATTTAGGGGGGGTTATTGAGGTCTGCACCCTCTTTTTGGGGGAGATTTGGGGAGAGGGGCTCTCACCTGGGGTCGGGCCCGGTGGGTGTTCACGGCCTCGATGTTGAGGAAGATGGGCTCGACCTCACAGCCTGGGCCAGGGCAGGAAGGGAGAGTTTGGGGGGATTGTCCCCATTTTGGGGTGGGACACAGTGGGGACAGTCCCTTTTTGGGGGGAATTGTCCCCATTTTGGGGTGGGACACAGTGGGGACAGTCCCTTTTTGGGGGGAACTGTCCCCATTTTGGGTTGGGACACAGTGGGGGACAATCCCTTTTTGGGGGGAACTGTCCCCATTTCTTGGGAGGAACACAAATCCCCTTTTGGGGGGGAACTGTCCCCATTTTGGGGTGGGACACAGGGGACACAGTGGGAATGTCCCCATTTTGGGGTGGGGGACAGTCCCTTTTTGGGGGCATTGTCCCCCATTCTGGAAGGAACACAAATCCCCTTTTTTGGGGGAATTGTCCCCATTTTCTGGGAGGGACACAAGGGTGAACAGTCCCATTTTTTGGGGGGCATTGTCCCCAATTTGGGATGGTACACAAGGGGATTGTCCCCATTTTGGGGAGGGACACAAATCCCCTTTCTGGAAGAAATTGTCCCCAGTTCTGGAAGGAACACAAATCCTCTTTTTGGGGTGAATTGTCCCCATTTTGGGGAGGGACACAAATCCCCATTTTTGGAGGGAATTGTCCCCATTTCTGGAAGGAACACAGATCCTCTTTTTGGTGGGAATTGTCCCCATTTTCTGGGATGGTCACAAATCCCCTTTTTAGGGGGAACTGTCCCCATTTCTGGACCCACTTTGGGGGTGGGACAGTCCCTTTTTGGGGGATATTGTCCCCAATTCTGGAAGGGACACAAATCCCCATTTTTGGGGGGAATTGTCCCCATTTTGTGAAGGGACACAAATCCCCTTTCTGGAAGAAATTGCCCCCAATTCTAGAAGGGACACAAATCCCTGTTTTGGGAGGAATTGGCCCCAAATCTGGGGGGGGTCACACTCCCATTTTTGGGGTGACACTCACCATAAGCCACCGGGGTCAGCTTCAGCACCGTGTGCAGGGGACACTTGAGGTAGGGCAGCTCATCTGGGCCGGGGGTTTTAACAAAAACCAGGTGGGCACAGCAGCTCTGGGCCGTCCCCAAGATGTCCCCAAGGTGTCCCCAAGGTGTCCCCAAGGCCTCACCTGCGCTCTTGTCCAGGAAATAAGCCAGCAAGCAGCGCATGACAGCCTGGTGGCACACCACCAGAACGTTCTCCTGCCGCTCCAGCTCCATGATCACCGGCTCCAGCCGCTGCACCAGGTCCTCGTAGGACTGGGGAGGGGGTTCAGGAGGGTCCCTAGATTATTTTTTGGGGGGTTTTTGGGGGGGATTTTGGGGGGTACCTCGCCTTTGGGGTAGCGGTAGCGGTATTTGTCCTGGTCGCGCAGCGCCAGCTCCTTGGGGTAGCGCTCCTGGATCTCCTCGTAGGTCATCTCCTCACACACGCCCTGAGGGACAGTGGGGACATCAAATGGCACCCAAAGGACCCCAAATTGGCCCCGGAATTACCACAAATGGCACCAAAATTACCACAAATGACACCAAAAGGACCCCGAATGACCCCAAATTGGCCCCAAAATTACTTCAAATGGCACCAAAATTACCACAAATGGCACCAAAAAGACCCCGAAATTACCACAAATTACTTGAAATGGCACCCAAAGGACCCCGAATGACCCCAAACTGGCCCCGGAATTACCACAAATGGCAACAAAATTACCACAAATGGCACCAAAAGGACCCCAAATGACCCCAAATTGCCCCCGAAATTACCACAAATGGCACCCAAAGGACCCCGAGTGACCCCAAACTGGCCCCGAAATTACCACAAATGGCACCACAATTACCACAAATTGGCCCCAAAATTACCACAAATGGCACCAAAAAGACCCCAAATGACCCCAAATTGGCACCAAAATTACCACAAATGGCACCAAAATTACCACAAATGGCACCAAAAGGACCCTGAGTGACCCCAATTTGGCCCCCGAAATTACCACAAATGGCACCAAAAGGACCCTGAGTGACCCCAAATTGGCCCCCGAAATTACCACAAATGGCACCAAAATTACCACAAATGGCACCAAAAGGACCCCGAATGACCCCAAATTGGCCCCGAAATTACCACAAATGGCACCAAAATTACCACAAATGGCACCAAAAAGACCCCGAGTGACCCCAAACTGGCCCCGGAATTACCACAAATGGCACCAAAAGGACCCCGAGTGACCCCAAATTGGCCCCAAAATTACTTCAAATGGCACCAAAATTACCACAAATGGCACCAAAAGGACCCCGAGTGGCCCCAAATTGGCCCCGAAAATTACCACAAATTACTTGAAATGGCACCAAAATTACCAGAAATGGCACCAGAATTACCCCAAACAGCCCCAAATGTCCCAAAATGACCCCAGATTGCCTCAAATGGATTTCAGTGGCCTCAAATGACCCCAAAGGGATTCCAGTGACCTCAAATGGATTTCAGTGACCCCAAAATCACCCTAAATGACACCAAATGGATTTCAGTGGCCCCAAATGGATTCCAGTGACCCCAAAATGACCCCAATTGGATTCCAGTGACCCCAATTGGATTCCAGTGACCCCGAAATGACCCCAAATGAATTTCAGCAGCCCCAAATGAATTTCAGTGACCCCAAACGAGTTCCAGTGACCCCAAAGAAATTTCAGCAACCCCAAATCGATTTCAGTGACCCCAAATGCACAGAGATCCCAGACAAATTCCAGAGACCCCCTAAATGACGCCAAATAAACTCCAGTGACTCCAAATCCAGCAGCCCCAAAATGACCCCAAATGGATTTCAGCGGCCCCTAAACGACCCCAAAGCCATTCCAGCGCCCCCAGACCCATGCGTGGCTCACGGCGTCGATCTCGTTGAGCGCCTTCCACTGCTCGTAGGGCACGCCCAGCGCCTCGGCCGTCTGGATCGTTCTCTTCATGTGGCTCGTCCACACCTTCAGCTCGGGGATGTTCTGGCTGCGGATGAACCGCGACAGCGCCTGCGCGTACTACGGGGGGGCGGGGACAGGGGCGTGGCCTTGCTTGTCCGTCCGTCCCGCTGGGCACAGCCCGCGCCCCGTAGCGGGGAGTGTGGGCTAAGCCACGCCCCCTTTGTGGGTGTGGTTTGGTTGATGGACTGGTGGGTGTGGCCTCGTGTAGCACCGCCCCCACAGGTCGTCTGTCCCACCCCATAGCAGGGAGTGTGGGCTAAGCCACGCCCCCTTTGTGGGTGTGGTTTGGTTGGTTGGCTCTGCCCTGTGGTGCTGGTGGGTGTGGCCTCGTGTAGCACCGCCCCCCACAGGTCACCTGTCCCAGCTGGTGGCTGTGATGGGATGTCCCTGTGTCCCCCAGGTGTGTCCTCCAGGTGTGTCCCTGTGTCCCCCAGGTGTGTCGCTGTGTTCCCCAGGTGTGGCCACACCTGTTCCCCATGAGGTGACATCCCCCAGGTGTGTCCCCACAAGGTGACCTCACCTGCTGGCCCCGGGGTGACAGGGCCGAGTCCCCCCCGATGCGGCCGCGCAGGTTGAGCTGGCTCTGACCCCACCTGTTCCCCATGAGGTGACATCCCCCAGGTGTGTCCCTCACACCTGGCTGTCACCTCACCTGCTGCCCCCGGAGTGACAGCACCGAGTCCCCCCCGATGCGGCCGCGCAGGTTGAGCTGGCTCTGACCCCCTGAACCCCACCAGGTACCCACGAGGGGACATCCCCACATCCCCAGGTGTGTCCCTGCACACCTGGCTGTCACCTCACCTGCTGGCCCCGGGGTGACAGGGCCGAGTCGCCGCCGATGCGGCCGCGCAGGTTGAGCTGGCTCTGACCCCACCAGGTACCCACATGGGGACATCCCCACATCCCCCAGGTGTGTCCCCACAAGGTGACCTCACCTGCTGGCCCCGGGGTGACAGGGCCGAGTCCCCCCCGATGCGGCCGCGCAGGTTGAGCTGGCTCTGACCCCACCTGTTCCCCATGAGGGGATATCCCCACATCCCCCAGGTGTGTCCCTGCACACCTGGCTGTCACCTCACCTGCTGGCCCCGGGGTGACAGGGCCGAGTCCCCCCCGATGCGGCCGCGCAGGTTGAGCTGGCTCTCGCCGTGGCGGCTCAGGTAGATGGTCCTGGGCGTGACGTGGATGTTCATCAGGTAATACACGGTGCGGCTCTGCACGTGGCCCTGCACGCGGTTGGCCAGGTAGCGCAGCCCCACGTCGAAAATCTTGATGTAGGACAGAGCACTGAGGGGGTTTGGGGGGGTGAGGATTGATAAAATCAGTTAATTACAAAATAAAATCAATCTATCAATAAAAATAAATAAAAAAATTAAATAATAAAAATAATGAAATAAAATAAAAAATAAAATTAATAATAAATGAGTAAGAAATAAAATTAAAAATAAAATTTTAAAAATTAAAAATAAAAATCAAAAATTAAAAAAAATAAAATACAGATTTTAAAAATCAAAAGAAAAAATAAAATAAAATAAATCAATAAAATAAAAATAAATTTAAAAAAGAAAAATTTTAAAAATTAAAAATAAAGAAATAAATTTAAAAAATAAAATAAAAAATAAGAATAAAATTTAAAAAATTTTAAAAATTAAAAAAAATAAAAAAATAAAATGAAATTGTCAGAATTCAGGATGTCCCCCAGGACCTTCCCAGAGACCGCCAGGTAGTGCAGCCCCACGTCGAAAATCTTGATGTAGGACAGAGCACTGAGGGGGTTTGGCAAAACAAAATCAATCCATCAATAAAAATCAAAAATAAAACTAAAAATTTTAAAAAATTAAAATGAATAAGAAAAATTAAATAATAAAAATAATGAAATAAAAGAAAAAATAAAATAAAGAATAAATAAATAAGAAATTAAAATAAAATTTTAAAAATTAAAAATAAAAATCAAAAATTAAAAAAATCAATAAAATAAAGATTTTAAAAATCAAAATAAAAAAGTAAAATAAAAAAATCAATAAAATAGAAATAAATTAAAAAAAGAAAAATTAAAAAAATTAAAAATAAAGAAATAAAAAATTTAAAAAATAAAATAAAAATAAGAATAAAATAAAAAAAATTTAAAGTATTAAAAAATAAAATTAAAAAAATAAAAAAATAAAATGAAATTGTCAGAATTCAGGATGTCCCCCAGGACCTTCCCAGAGACCGCCAGGTAGTGCAGCCCCACGTCGAAAATCTTGATGTAGGACAGAGCACTGAGGGGGTTTGGCAAAACAAAATCAATCCATCAATAAAAATCAAAAATAAAAGGAAAAATTTTAAAAAATTAAAATGAATAAGAAAAATTAAATAAGAAAAATAATGAAATAAAAGAAAAAATAAAATTAATAATAAATGAGTAAGAAATAAAATTAAAATAAAATTTTAAAAATTAAAAATAAAAATCAAAAATTTAAAAAAATAAAATATTTTAAAAATCAAAAGAAAAAATAAAATAAAATAAATCAATAAGATAAAAATAAATTTAAAAAAGAAAAATTTTAAAAATTAAAAATAAATAAATAAATTTTAAAAATAAAATAAAAAATAAGAATAAAATTTAAAAAATTAAAAATTTTTTAAAAATTAAAAAATAAAAAAATAAAATGAAATTGTCAGAATTCAGGATGTCCCCCAGCACCTCCCCAGAGCCCGCCAGGCAGCGCAGCCCCACATCAAAATTCTTGATATAGCACAGCCCACTGAGGGGGTTTGGGGCTGTGAGCATTCATAAAATCCGTCCCATCCATTTTTGATTTTCTCCCAGAGCCCAGAGCGATCCTGGGGTGTTTTTGGGGCTCTCACCTGTCCAGCTCGTCGTCCAGGGGCTCGTAGGTGGCCTTGTAGCACTCGATGCGCTGCAGGAAATCGGCCACGGCCTCGTCCTGCCCGCGGCCCCGGTAATCGGGGCTGCTCAGCTTCACTTGCTGCAGCGGTGGCGGAGGAAAAGGGGCTTGGGGGCACCCGTGGGTGCAGGTGGGTGCAGGTGGGGATAGGGGGGCACAGGTGGGTGCAGGTGGGTACACACAGGTGGGTGCAGGGGAGCACAGGTGGGTGCAGGTGGGTCCACACAGGTGGGTGCAGGTGGGGATAGGGGGGCACAGGTGGGTGCAGGGGAGCACAGGTGGGTGCAGGTGGGCACAGGTGGGTTCAGGGGAGCACAGGTGGGTGTAGGGGAGCACAGGTGGGTGCAGGTGCGTTCAGGTGGGTTCAGGGGAGCACAGGTGGGTGCAGGTGGGTACACACAGGTGGGTGCAGGTGGGGATGGGGGGGCACAGGTGGGTGCAGGTGGGTTCAGGGGAGCACAGGTGGGTACACACAGGTGGGTGCAGGTGGGTGCAGGGGAGCACAGGTGGGTTCAGGTGGGTTCAGGTGGGCGCAGGTGGGTGCAGGTGGGTGCAGGGGAGCACAGGTGGGTGCAGGGGAGCACAGATAGGTGCAGGTGGGTCCACACAGGTGGGTGCAGGTGGGCTCAGGTGGGTGCAGGGGAGCGCAGGTGGGTTCAGGTGGGTCCACACAGGTGGGTGCAGGGGAGCACAGATAGGTGCAGGTGGGTACACACAGGTGGGTGCAGGTGGGGATAGGGGGGGCACAGGTGGGTGCAGGTGGGCTCAGGTGGGTGCAGGGGAGCGCAGGTGGGTTCAGGTGGGTCCACACAGGTGGGTGCAGGTGGGCTCAGGTGGGTGCAGGGGAGCGCAGGTGGGTTCAGGTGGGTCCACACAGGTGGGTGCAGGTGGGCTCAGGTGGGGATAGGGGGGCACAGGTGGGTCCACACAGGTGGTGCAGGTGGGCGCAGGTGGGTGCAGGTGGGTGCAGGTGGAGATAGGGGGGCACAGGTGGGGTCAGGTGGGTTTAGGTGGGGATAGGGGGGCTCAGGTGGGTGCAGGTGGGCACAGGTGGGCACAGGTGGGGTCAGGTGGGCACAGGTGGGTGCAGGTGGGCACAGGTGGGCACAGGTGGGTCCAGGTGGGTGCAGGTGGGGTTCAGGTGGGGATAGGGGGGCTCAGGTGGGTGCAGGCGGGCACAGGTGGGTCCAAACAGGTCCTTGTTGTCACCTCCCAGCCACAACTGTCACCCTCAGGTCCTTGTTGTCACCTCCAAGTCCCAGCTGTCACCCTCAGGCACCAGTTGTCACCTCATGGCTTCAGCTGTCACCCCCAGCCCTCAGTTGTCACCTCCAGGTCCTTGTTGTCACCTCCCAGCTCCAGTTGTCACCTCCATGTCCCCATTGTCACCTCCAGATCCCAGTTGTCACCTTCAAGCCTCAATTGTCATTTCCCAGCCCCAGCTGTCACCTCCATGTCCCCATTTTCACCTCCAGGTCCCACTTGTCACCTTTAGGCCTCAATTTTCACATCCAGGCCTCAATTTTCATTTCCCGGCTCCACTTGGCACCTCCAGGTCCCCACTGTCATCTCCAGGCCCCCATTGTCACCTCCAGGCCTCAGTTGTCACCTCCCAGCCCCAGTTGTCACCTCCAGGCCTCAATTGTCACCTCCATGTCCCCGTTGTCACCTCCATGTCCCATTGTCACAGCCCAGGGTCTCACCTTGATGTTCTCCTCAATGATGGTGGGGTCGTCACAGATGGACTCCACAAACAGGACCTGGGGGTGAGGGGGGACAGGTGACACCCCCAAATCGGTGCCACCACCTGATGTGACACCCCCAAACTGCCACCCCCTGATGTGACACCCCCAAACCGTCACCCACCCATGCTGTGGCACCCATGGTGCCACCACCCCCCCAAAATCCCCCCCAAAATCCCTCATGACCCCCCCAGAAAATCCTCTCGACCCCCAAAATCCCCCAGAACCCCCCCAAAATTCCTCAGGAAACCCCCAAAACTCCTCACGACCCCCCCCCCAAAAATTCATCAAGACCCCCCCAAAATCCCTTAAGACCCCCCCAAAACTCCCCACAACCCCCAAAATTTCCTCAAAATTCCTCACGACCCTCCCAAAACCCCTCAGGAACCCCCCAAAAAACCCTCAAGACCCCCCCCCAAAAAACCCTCAAGACCCCCCCAAATTCTTAACGACCCCCCAAAATTCCTCAAGACCCTTCCCAAAATTGCTCCCAAATTCCTCAACACCCCCCCAAAATCCCTCAAGATCCCCCCAAAACTCCTCACGAGCCCCCAAAACTCCTCACAACCCCCAAAATTTCCTCAAAATTCTTCACGACCCTCCCAAAACCCCTCAGGACCCCCCCCAAAACCCCTCAAGACCCCCCCAAATTCTTAGCGACCCCCCAAAACTCCTCACGACCCCCCCCAAAAATTCATCAAGACCCCCCCCAAAATCCCTTAAGACCCCCCCCAAAACTCCCCACAACCCCCAAAATTTCCTCAAAATTCCTCACGACCCTCCCAAAACCCCTCAGGAACCCCCCAAAAAAACCCTCAAGACCCCCCCCAAAACCCCTCAAGACCCCCCCAAATTCTTAACGATCCCCTAAATTCCTCAAGACCTCCCCCAAAATTTCTCCTAAATTCCCCAAACCCCCCCCCAAAATCCCTCACGATCCCCCCAAAACTCCTCACGAGCCCCCAAAACTCCTCACAATCCCCAAAATTCCCTCAAAATTCTTCACAACCCTCCTAAAACCCCTCAGGACCACCCCGAAAAACCCTCAAGACCCCCCCAAATTCTTAACGATCCCCAAAATTCCTCAAGACCTCCCCCAAAATTTCTCCTAAATTCCTCAAACCCCCCCCCAAAATCCCTCAAGATCCCCCCAAAACTCCTCACGACCCCCCAAGAATTCCTCAAAATCCCTCATGACCCTCTCTAAATCCCTCATGATCCCCCAAAATTCCTCGAGGTCCCCCCAAAAATTCTTCACTATTCCCCCCAAAAACTCCCCGGACCCCCCAAAACCCCCCTGGACCCCCCAAAATCCCCCCGGACCCCCCAAATCCCACCTTGTACCCATTTTCCTTGGCAAACTCCAGGATCACCTCCCGCCGCTCCCGCGTGGTGTTGGTGGCATCAAAAACCTTTTTTGGGAAAAAATTGGGGGACAAATTTGAACACCATCCCCTCCCACAAATATTTTGGGGTGAAATTCGCCCGTTAAGGGGTTAATTTTTAATTTTTTTTAAATTTTTTTTTAATTTGGGGAGGGGTCTCTCACCGCCACCTGCCCCTCCTCAGAGCTCAGGTAGGTTCTCACATCCTTCAGCGCAGCCAGAGCGCAGTGCCTGGAAATTTTGGGGGGGTTCAGCTCCGAAAAATTCCCCTAAAAAAAAAACCACCCCAAAATCCCCCCTCCCCAAAAAAAAATTTCCCCTTCTAACCTTCGAATTTCCACCCCCTCGGGGTTATCGTGCCGGAAAAATTCGTAATTTTTGTAGTTGGGCACGGCTTCCCTGCGGTATTCGCCCACGTTGAACACTGCAGGAAAACCCCGTGGGAGGGGTTTGAGAGGGTTTAGGACCCCTCCCACAAATTTTTTTGGGGGGATCCCCACCCCCAAAAATGGCTCACCTCGGGTGGGGGTGCCGATCCAGTTGAGGTAGCGGGTGAGTTTTCGGGAGATGTAGGTTTTGCCTCGGGCAGGTAACCCCACCAGGATCACCATGGTGGGGCAGTTGGTGAACTGGGGAACGCAGGCTGGGGGGGAGAAAAAGAAATTTTAAAAATTTTAACCCCCCCTCGGAAATCCTGATTTGGTTTTTGTACCCCTAAATTCCTCCTGCACCCCCAAAATCCCGATTTTGGTATGAAAAACCTGCCCTGAATGGGAAAATTCCCCCCTTTGGGGTGTTTTGAGGGGGGGGATTTTTTTCCCCTCATCTCAAATCTGTGACCCCCCCCAGAAATCCCCAATTTGCTTTTGTACCCCTAAATCCCTCCTGCACCCCCAAAATCCCAATTTTGGGGTAAAAAACCTGCCCTGAATGGGAAAATCCCCTCCTAAGGGGTGATTTTTCCTCAGCGCAAATCTGTGTTTCCCCCCCAAAAATTCTCTCCTCCCCCCAAGAAATCCCAATTTGGTTTTTGTACCCCCAAATTCCTCCTGCACCCCCAAAATCCCGATTTTGTTATGAAAAACCTGCCCTGAATGGGAAAATTCCCCCCTTTGGGGTGTTTTGAGGGGGGGGGATTTTTTTCCCTCATCTCAAATGTGTGACCGCCCCCCCCCTCAAATTCAGACCCCCTCAGAAATCCCAATTTTGCACCCCCAAATTCCTCATGCACCCCAAAATCCCAATTTTGGGGTAAAAACCTGCCCTGAAAAGGGAAAATCTCCCCCTAAGGGGTGTTTTGAGGGGGGGGGGGGGGGGTTTCCTCATCTCAAATCTGTGTCCCCCCCTCAAATTCAGGCCCCCCCAGAAATCCCAATTTTGTACCCCCAAATTCCTCCTGCACCCCCAAAACCCCAATTTTGGTATGAAAAACCTGCCCTGAATGGGAAAATCCCTCCCTTTGGGGTGTTTTGAGGGGGGGGATTTTTTCCCTCATCTCAAATCTGTGACCCCCCCCCCCCGTCAAATTCAGACCCCCCCAGAAATCCCCAATTTGCTTTTGTACCCCTAAATTTCTCCTGCACCCCCAAAATCCCAATTTTGGGTAGAAAAACTTGTCCTGAAAAGGGAAATCCCCCACCCCCCAAGGGTTTTTTGGGGGGGTTTTTCCCCTCATTGCAAATCTGTGTCCCCCCCCCTTCAAATTCAACCCACCCCAAAAATCCCCAAATTGGTTTTTGTACCCCTAAATCTTTCCTGAACCCCAAATTTGGGTTAAAAATTTGCTTTTTAAAGCAATTTTTAAGCAACTGCTGCCCTGCAAAGGGAAATCCCCCCCTAAGGGTATTTTTGGGGGGGGGGGGGGAATTTTCCCCCTCATCTCAAATCTCTGCCCCCCCCCCTCAAATCCCGCACCCCAATCTCACTCCAGGGGTACAAAAACAGCCCCCAAATTTATTTTTATTATTTTTATTTTTATTTTCTGGGGGCGGGGGGGGTCCTTATGAGCCGCTCCGATGTCGCCGCCATGTCCCTCTTGCCTGTGCTCCCCCCCGCCCCTTTCAATGTCCCCATTGTCACTGTTAAAAAAAAAAAAAATTAAAATTCACTCCTTGTCCCTCCTACCTGGGATTTTGGGGGATTTCTCCTCCATTTTTGGGGCGCGGGGAGGGGAGGGGGGGGCCCGGCCGGTGTTTTTGGTGCCCCCCGAGAAGGTCGCAGGTAATTTTAAACCCTGGCTCCCCACCAATGGGAGGGGACAGGGGACACGGGGGGGGGGGACAGCGGGGCCACCCCCGTGGGGACCTGACCCTGTCACCCTTTGGGGGGGGGTCCTGAAATGGGGATATAAAACCCCCCCCCCCTTATTTTTGGGACCCCCCTTTTTTTTTGGGACCCCTCTTTCTTTAGGGACCCCCCCCGTTTTTGGGAACCCCTTTCTTTGAGGACGCTTCCCCCCCCCCTTTTTTTTTTAGGACCCCCATTTTTAGGACCCCCATTTTTAGGACCCCCATTTTTAGGACCCCCCCCCCCCTTTTTCAGAGGTATCCCCCCCTTTTTTGGGACCCCCAGTTCTTTTAGGACCGCCCCCCCCCTTTTCTTTTAAGACCCCCATTTTTAGGATCTCCCTTTTCAAACCCCCATTTTTAACCCTTTCCGATTTTGTCTTCTGGGCGGGGGTCCCTAATTTGGGTGGGGGGGGGGAATTATTCCCCAAATCCCACCCCCCGGAGGAGCGGATTGTGTCCCCTCAGTGTCCCCATCCCCTTTTTTTGGGGTCCCCCTCCCGTAAATGTCTCAACGCTCTCACTTTGTAGCGGGGGGTCCCCAATTTTGGGGTCTTCAGTTCTGGGAACGAGGAGGAAAAGGAGATGAGACCCTCCCCAAAATGGGACCCTTCGGACACCTCTGACCCCCCCCGGCCATTCTGGGGGGCCCTCGATGCCTCGGACACCCCCTGGGCCCCCCCCCGCCAATCTCGATCTGGGGGAACCCCCTTGTCCCGCGCCCTTCCCCCCGGGATTCCCCGCTCGTGTCCCCCGGTCCCACCCCCGGTGCCACCCCCGGTGCCACCCCCGGTGTCCCCCCGGTCCCTCCTTTGGCCCAACCCCCGGTCCCTCCCCTCGGTGTCCCCCGGGTCCTTCCCCGGTCCCTCCCGGGGCTTTCTCCGGTCCCTCCCCGGTCCCTCCCTCTCCCTCCCCGGTCCCTCCCCGGTCCCTCCCCGGTCCCTCCCTCTCCTTCCCCGGTCCCTCCCTCTCCCTCCCCGCCCTTTCCTCTCCCTCCGCTCTCATCCCTCTCCACCCCCGTCCCTCCTTTATCCCTTCCCTCTCCCCTCCTCTTCCTCCCCCGTCCCTCCCTCTTCTTCCTCCTTTCCCTCCCCCTCTTCCTCCCCTCTCCCCTCCTCTCCCTCCTCTGTCCTTCCTTCATCCCTCCCCCTTTCCCTCCCTCTCCCTCCTTTGTCCCTCCCCCTTTCCCTCCCTCTCCCTCCCTCTTCCTCCCTTGTCCCCCCCTCTTCCTCTTCCTCCCCGCCCCTCTCCCTCCCCCCGGTTCCTCCCCCCGGTTCCTCCCCCCGGTTCCTCCCCCCGGTTCCTCCCCCGGTTCCTCCCCCCGGTTCCTCCTCCGGTTCCTCCCCCCGCTCCCATTGGCGGCGATGGCGGCGATCCGCACCGTGCAGGTACCGGGACCCCCCCGCACTCCCCCCGGGGCTATTTGAGGAGGGGTCTCCCCCCCATCCTCACCGACCCCTCCGTGTCCCCCTCTCCCCGTCCTCCCGCAGGGCTCGGTGGCGCTGGTGACCGGCGGCGGCTCCGGGCTGGGCCGGGCCACGGTGGAGCGGCTGCTGGAGCGGGGGGCGCGGGTGCTGCTGCTGGACCTGCCCTCGTCCGGGGGCGCCGAGCTGGCCCGGGAGCTCGGGGAGAGCTGCGCCTTCAGCCCCGCCGACGTGAGCACCGGGGGCACCGGGCTGGGGGCGCTGCGGGACAGCGGGGACGGCGGGGACACCCCCCGGACATGGGGACATCAGTGACGCCACTCCTGACATGGGGACACCCCCCCGGACATGGGGAAACCCCCCGGACATGGGGACACCCCCCTCGGACATGGGGACACACCCCGGACATGGGGACCACACCACAGACATGGGGACACCCCCCGGACATGGGGACACACCCCAGACATGGGGAAACCCCCCGGACATGGGGAAACCCCCCGGACATGTGGACAGCCACTGGACATGGGGACACCCCCCGACATGGGGACACCCCCCGGACATGGGGACAGCCACTGGACATGGGGACACCCCCGGACATGGGGACACCCCCCGGACATGGGGACAGCCACTGGACATGGGGACACACCCGGACATGGGGACACCCCCCCCCCCGGACATGGGGACACCCACTGGACATGGGGACACACCCCCCCGGACATGGGGACACCCCCCGACATGGGGACACACCCCAGACATGGGGACATCAGTGACGTCACTCCTGACATGGGGACACCCCCGGACATGGGGACACACCCCGGACATGGGGACACCCCCACCAGTGACATCCCCCCCTGACACAGCTGGTGACATCCCCCCTTGACACGTGGCCACCTTGACCCTTCCGTTGGGGGCATCCACACGTGGCCACTGTGACCCCGCCCCTCTTGGGGACATCCACACGTGGTCACCTGACCCCCCCCCTCATTGGTGACATTAGCCCTGAGTGTGGGACCACCTCCCCGGTGACCTTTGACCTCTCAGGTGACATCCCACCTTGATGGGGGATGACCCCACAGGTGACCTTGGCCAAGGAGGTGGGGACAACCTCGCCCCTCCCCCTGCTCAAACTGGGCCCAGCGTGACCTTGACCGAGGAGCCAAGGTCACCTTGACCCTGCTGGTGACATCCCACCTTGTCCTTGTCCCCTCTGGTGACAGCCCCCGTGTCCCCAGGTGACCTCACCTGAGGAGGTGGGGGCCACCTTGGCCACCCCCTCAATTTGGGACCACCTTGACCCCTTCAGCCACGTCCCAAGGTGACCCAGGTGGTGACTCCAGTGGTGACACATCCCAGGGTGACTCCAGCGGTGACACATGCCAGGGTGACCCCAGTGGTGACACCCCCCTGGTGACCCCAATGGTGACACCCCCAGGTGACCTCTCCCGAGGAGGTGGGGGCTACCTTGGCCATCCCCTCAATTTGGGACCACCCTGACCCCACAGGTGACATCCCCCGCCCTCCTCAACCTGGGCCCAGCGTGACCTTGACCGAGGAGCCAAGGTCACCTTGACCTTGCTGGTGACATCCCACCTTGTCCTTGTCCCCTCTGGTGACATCCCCCGCCCAACACAGCCCCATTGGCCCCAGGTGACCTCACCTGAGGAGGTGGGGGCTGCTTTGGCCACCCCTCTATTTGGGACCACCTTGACCCCTCCAGCCATGCCCCAGGGTGACCCCAATGGTGACCCCGGTGGTGACCCCAGTGGTGACCCCGGTGGTGACACCCCCTCGGTGACACCCCCAGGTGACCTCTCCTGAGGAGGTGAGCGCGGCGCTGGGCGTGGCCCAGAAGAAGTTTGGCCGCCTGGACCTGGCCGTGAACTGCGCCGGCATCGGCATCGCCGTCAAGACCTACAACAGCAAGAAGGACAAAGTGCACGACCTGGAGGACTTCCAGAGGGTCATCAACGTCAGTGGGGGCTCGGGGTGGTGGGGTGGGGGGGTCTGGGTGGGATGGAGGGGTCTGGGGTCAGTGGGGTGGGAGGGTCTGGGGTCAGTGGGTGGGTAAGGGAGGTCTGTGGTCAATGGTGTGGAGGATCTGGTCAGTGGGTGGTGACCTGGTCAGTGAGGGGGGTCTCTGGTCAATGGGGTGGACGATCTGGTCAGTGGGTGAGTGATCTGGTCAATGAAGGGGGTCTCTGGTCAATGGTGTGGATGACCTGGTCAATGGCGTGGATGACCTGGTCAGTGGTGTGGATGGTCAATGGATGGATGACCTGGTCAATGGCGTGGATGGTCAGTGGCATGGATGGTCAATGGGCGAACGACCTCATCAATGGCGTGGATGACCTGGTCAATGGATGGATGACCTGGTCAATGGTGTGGATGACCTGGTCAATGGGTGGATGATCAATGGATGGATGACCTGGTCAATGGTGTAGATGACCTGGTCAATGGATGGATGATCAATGGATGGTTGACCTGGTCAGTGGTGTGGATGACCTGGTCAATGGTGTAGATGACCGGGGCAGTGGGTAAATGACCCGGTCAATGGATGGATGATCAATGGATGGATGACTTGGTCAATGAGGGGATGGTCAATGGGTGGATGACCTGGTCAATGGATGGATGATCTGGTCAATGGCGTGGATGGTCAATGGCATGGATGGTCAATGGGCGAACGACCTCATCAGTGGTGTGGATGACCTGGTCAATGGTGTGGATGATCAATGGATGGATGACCTGGTCAATGGATGGATGACCTCGTCAATGGTGTAGATGACCTGGTCAATGGTGTGGATGACCTGGTCAATGGATGGATGACCTGGTCAATGAAGGGGGTCTCTGGTCAATGGGGTGGATGATCTGGTCAATGGCACGGATGACCTGGGCAGTGGGTAAATGACCTGGTCAATGGATGGGTGACCTGGTCAATGGCGTGGATGGTCAATGGCGTGGATGGTCAATGGGCGAACGACCTCATCAATGGCATGGATGACCTGGTCAATGGGTGGATGACCAATGGGTGGATGACTTGGTCAATGGGTGGATGAACTGGTCAATGAGGGGATGACCTGGTCAGTGAGGGGATAACCTGATTAATGGTGTGGATGACCTGGTCAGTGGGTGGATGCTCAATGGGTGGATGACTTGGTCAATGGTCAATGAGGGGATGACCTGGTCAGTGGATGGGTGACCTGGTCAGTGGGTGGATGCTCAATGGGTGGATGACTTGGTCAAGGGTCAATGAGGGGATGACCTGGTCAATGAGGGGATGACCTGATTAATGGTGTGGATGGCCTGGTCAGTGGGTGGATGACCTGGTCAGTGGGTCAGATGCCCTCATCAATGGGTGATGATCAATGGCTTGGCCCTGATCAATGCCGTACCTGTAGATGTGGGACCTCGGGGCGTTCCCACCACAACACCCGGTGCTGTGAGGGCACCATCAGGGTTTGGTGGCCCCCCACAATCCCCCCCTCCCCAAATCCCCCTCCCCAAATCCAGGTGAACCTGGTGGGCACCTTCAACGTGATCCGCCTGAGCGCGCAGCTCATGAGCCGCAACAAGCCGGACGCCGACGGCCACCGCGGCCTCGTGGTCAACACCGCCAGCGTGGCCGCCTTCGAGGGACAGGTGAGTGACCCCGGGGGCCACCAGGGGGTCAGAGAACCTTCCGGAAACCCCGCCACCCCCCCACTATCGGAATAATTCCAATATTGCAGGAATAATTCCAATATTGCAGGAATAATTCCAATATTGCAGACGGGACGTGCCTGAGCTTGTAGGGCCCTTGGTGCTTGACCAAAAAGTGGCAACTGTGGTGATTTCACCCCAAAAACAATTTTGGCCAGCTGGATTTGTGGTGTTTCACCCCAAAAATGCTTTTGGCCAGTTGGATCTGTGGTGTTGAACTGTAATATAATAACTTTTAGTGATTGGAGAATAGTAACATGAATATGGTAATATTCATAGTAAATGATATATGTTACAGTAGTTATATATTATAGTATATTATAAAATATTATAATATATTATAACATATTATAACATATTAAAATATATAATAATACAATATATTATATTATATTATATTATATTATATTATATTATATTATATTATATTATATTATATTATATTATATTATATTATATTATATTATAGTATATTACAATATAATATAATAATAGTATATTATAGTATATTATATTACAATATAATATAATAATAGTATATTATAGTATATTATATTATGATAAATTATAGATAAAAGTTAAGTTACAGATTGGTTCTGCTGTATTAAGATAGCACAGGCAAACAAGTCAGCAAAGGTGCAAGTAGAAAAAAGGTCTCAGAATTTTCCACTGCAAGAAAACTGGAAAAACAACTTCTAGTTTAAACTGTGATATATTAACTTTTAGTGACTTTCATCCTTCCTTGTAAAACTTTCATCATTTTTTTGTCAAACTTTCATCCCTCCCAACATCCAGGACTGATGGGCAGTGCTGGGAGGGGGAAGGACAGGTATTAATATATTATATTATATTAATTATATTAATTATATTATATTATATTATATTATATTATATTATATTATATTATATTATATTATATTATATTATATTATATTATTTTTAGTATTTTATATGATGTATTATACTTGGAATATTGTAATAATATATACTATATATTATAAAGAATATATAATAATATACTATAGTATTATATATCATATATAATAATAGATATTATATGATACAATGTATCCTATATAATATATATTATTATAATATATGATATGATATAATATATAATATGATATATTATAATAATATAGATTATATTTATGATTATATGATATATTAATTGTATATAATGAATATACTATAATATACTATAATATACTATAATGTACTATAACATACTATACTATAACATACTATACTATAATATAATATACTATAATATAATATACTATAATATACTATAATATAATATACTATAATATACTATACTATAATATACTATAATATACTATACTATAATATACTATACTATACTATACTATAATATAATATAATATAATATAATATAATATAATATAATATAATATAATTTTTTTTTTTTTTTTTTTTTTAAATATAAACTGACACACTTGGGCAGAGAATTATCAGAGGGAAGGATCCAAAAATCAACCCTAAAATCACAGTTTCACCTCCCCACAGGTTGGCCAAGCCGCCTACTCGGCCTCCAAGGGCGGCATCGTGGGCATGACCCTGCCCATCGCCCGCGACCTGGCACCGCTGGGCATCCGCGTGGTCACCATCGCGCCAGGTGGGGACACCTGGGGACACCTGGGGACACCTGAGGGAGGGAGGGCAAGGGGAGCTCGGTTCTGAGCTGTCCTTGCTGGTGGTTTGTGGGTTTGATCTCAGGGGGTGAAAAAACAACATGAGATGGTGCAGGGGGTTTGCGTTGATAATCAAAATAAATGTAATTTTATTGAATGAGAACAGTGAGATGTGATAGAGGGATTGAGGGAGAGGAAAAGATAAGAAAAAGAGAGAAAAAGATAAGAAAGAGAGAGAAAAAAGAGAGAGAAAAGAGAGAGAAAGAGAGAGAAAAGAGAGAGAAAGAGAGAAAAAAAGATATGAAAGAGAGAAAAACAAGGGGTTTGCAGTGATAATCAAAATAAATGTAATTTTATTGAATGAGAACAGTGAGATGTGATAGAGGGATTGAGGGAGAGAAAAAGGTAAGAAAGAGAGAGAAATAGATAAGAAAAAGAGAGAAAAAGATAAGAAAGAGAGAGAAAAAAGAGAGAGAAAAGAGAGAGAAAAAAAGAGAGAGAAAAGAGAGAGAAAGAGAGAAAAAAAGATAAGAAAAAGAGAGAAAAAACCAAGGGGTTTGCAGTGATAATCAAAATAAATGGATTTTTATTGAATGGATGTATGAAATGTGATAGAGGGATTGAGGGAGAGGAAAAGATAAGAAAGAGAGAGAAAAAGATAAGAAAGAGAGAGAAAAAGATATGAAAGAGAGAAAAACAAGGGGTTTACAGTGATAATCAAATTAAATGTAATTTAATTGGATGGGTACAGTGAAATGTGGTAGAGGGATTGAGGGAGAGAAAAAGATAAGAAAGAGAGCAAAAAAGATAAGAAAGAGAGAGAAAAGAAAGAGAGAGAGAGAGGGATACAGCTACCAAATGTAGAGATGAAATCCTTTGGTCCAGTCCATTGATAATCAAAATAAATGCACTTTTACTAAATGAAATAAAAAATAAATTAAATAAAAAAAGAATAAAATAAATAAAATGAAATAAAAAATAAATTAAATAAATAAATAAATAAAATGAAATAGAAAACCATAAAATTTTAAAATTAAAAAAAAAAAAAAAACCAAATAAATTTTAAAAAGAAATAAAATAAATTAAAAAAATGAAATAAAAAATAAAGTAAATAAAAAATGAGTAAGATAAATAACATAAAAAAGAAATAAAATAAAAAAATAAATAAAATAAAAAACATAAAATAAAAATTAATAAATAACATTAAAATAAATAAAATAAAATAAAATAAATTTTAAAAATACAATAAATAAATAAAATAAAATAAAATAAAATAAAATAAAATAAAAATAAATAAAATAAATGAAATAAAAAATAAATAAAATAAAAATTAATAACATAAATAAAATAAAAAATAAATAAAATAAAAATATAAATAAAATAAAAAACCATAAAATAAAAATTAAGAAATAAAACTAAAAAAAATAAAATAAAATAAATTTAAAAAAATACAATAAATTAAAAATAAATCCAATTTTAAAAACCCAATAAAATAAAAATAAAAATTAAATTAAATAATTAAAATCAAATAAAATAGACATTTTTTTCTCCACTTTTTCAGGGCTGTTCTCCACCCCTCTCCTGGCCGGGCTGCCCGAGAAGGTTCGGAAGTTCCTGGGCCAGCAGGTGCCGTTCCCGTCCCGCCTCGGGGACCCCTCGGAATTCGCTCACCTGGTGCAGGCCCTGGCCGAGAACCCCATGATCAACGGCGAGGTGGTGAGGCTGGACGGGGCCCTGAGGATGCAGCCGTGAGCCCCAAAACCCGGGGGAACCCCAAAATGTGGGGGAACCCCGAAAATTTGGGGTGGGAGAGGTGACGGAGAGGACGCTGCGAGGATCAACGGGGACACTCCAACGCTGTGGGGACAAGGATTGGGGACACAGTGGGGACACTTTGTCCTGAGGGTCCTGAGGGGACACAACCCCCCTGAGTGGACACTGAGTGGACACAACCCGTCCCAAAAGTGGGAACTCCCAAGGATTTGGGGACACCAAGGATTTGGGGACACCAAGGATTTGGGGACACCCAAGGATCTGGGGACACCCAAGGATTTGGGGACACCAAGGATTTGGGGACACCCAAGGAGGATTTGGGGACAAACCCCAGGATTGTGGCCATGAGGACACTCCAACCCCTGCTCAAGTTTGGGGGGGACCATCCTGAGTCCCCCCCGGGTTTGGGGACCCCCTGAAGCCCCTCTGAGTGGACATGAGACCCCCCCCCAAAAGTGGGGACACCCAAAGATTTGGGGACACCCAAGGATTTGGGGACAAACCCTAGGATTGTGGTCATGAGGACACTCAAAGCCCTGCTCAGGTTTGGGGGGGTCCATCCTGAGCCCCCCCCTCAATTTGGGGACCCCCTTGAGTCCCCCCTGAGTGGACACAACCCCCGTAAGTGGGAACTCCCAAGGATTTGGGGACACCCAAGGAGGATTTGGGGACAAACCCCAGGATTGTGACCATGAGGACGCTCAAATCCCTGCTCAGGTTTAGGGGGCTCCATCCTGAGCCCGCCCCCTCAATTTGGGGACCCCCCCCCAGCCCCTCCCCCACATCAATAAAGCGTGTTCGCCCACGCGGCCTCCGAGCCTTGCGATGCCCCGCCTCCCGTCTCTTCTTATTGGCTGGTTCTGCTGTCAATCATATCACAACCAGATATGATTGATCGGTGAGGGGGGGTGGGAGTGGTAAAACCTCCCACGCGCGAAGCTCGCCTCTGATTGGCTGAAGGCAGGGCTGATCGCGCTCTCTGCTCGCTGATTGGATGAAAGTCCTGTCAATATGGCGGCATGACGGGTGGGCGGGTTCAGCGCCGATTGGTCAGAGAGGCACTTCCGGCGGAAGCGGCTCGTGAGGGGACAGGGACCGGCGGCGGCACCGGGAGCGGCACCGGGAACAGGGAACGCGACCGGGAGCGGGAACCGCAGCCATGAACATCCGGAACGCGCGGGTGGGCGGCCCGCGAGGGACAGGGGGGCTCAGCCAAGGAGAATTGGGCACCGGGGAGGGATCTGCCGGTGATACCGGGCCATGGCGGGAGCTGTGAGGGGAACACCGGGATCTGAGGGGAGCACCGGGACATGCGAGGCGGAACTGGGGATTTATGAGGTGTCTGAGGTGGGGACCGTGCTCCGATTGGTGCTTCCCGGGCCTCGAACCGGGAGAACCGGGATCTGAGGGGGACACCGGGATCTGAGGGGGACACCGGGATTGGGGAGCGGTACCGGGCCCTGAGGGGGGCTCTGAGGGGATCCCGGTACCGTTTGGGGGCTCTGAGGTGGATCCGTGCTTGGAGGAGGCTCTGAGGCCTCTCCCGGTGTTGGGGAGCACCGGGGCCGGTTCTGGGGTGACTTCCCCGGTTCTCCTCCGGTTCTGGTTGCTCCCGGTAGCCCGAGGACCTGATGAACATGCAGCACTGCAACCTGCTCTGCCTGCCCGAGAACTACCAGATGAAATATTATTTCTACCACGGCCTCTCCTGGCCTCAGGTGTGGCTCTGGATCCGCCCCGGGATTACCGGGATTTAACCCCCCCTTCCCCGGATTTAACCCCACCCCGGTGCCCCTCGATCTCCTCCAGAACACCTGGATCCCTCCTTGGCACACCTGGGGTACTGAATTTCACACCAGGACCCCCTGGATCCCCTTCCCAGGCACACCTGGCCCCTCCCAGGGTCACCTGGATTTCCTCCCCCCCTGCCCCAGGCACACCTGCCCCCCCCTTTCCCCCAGGACCCCCTGGAATCCCCCCAGGACCCCCTGGAATCCCCCCCATGCACACCTGACCCCCCTTCACCCCTTTCACACCCTCCATTGTCACCTGTTCCCCCCCCATTGTCACCTGTTCCCCCCCCATTGTCACCTGTCCCACCCTCACCTGTCCCCATTGTGCCCTGTCCCCTATTGTGCCTTGTCCCCATTGTCCCCTGTCCCCATTGTCCCCTGTCCCCATTGTCCCTAGTCCCTCATTGTCCCTTCCCATTGTCCCCCTGTCCCATTGTCACCTGTTTTGTCCGATTGTCATCTGTCCCTATTGTCACTTGTCCCCATTGTGCCCTGTCCCCTATTGTGCTTTGTCCTCATTGTCCCCTGTTCCCATTGTCCCCTGTCCCATTGTCCCGTTCCCCATTGTCCCCTGTCCCATTGTCACCTTTGTCCCCTGTCCCCATTGTCCACTGTCCCACTGTCCCCTGTCCCATTGTCCCCATTGCGCCCTGTCCCCATTGCCCCCTGTCCCCCTTTGTCCCCAGTCCCATTGTCACCTTTGTCCCCTGTCCCCCCCCATTGTCCCCCATTGTCCCCTGTCCCATTGTCCCCTGTTCCCCATTGTCCCCTGTCCCATTGTCCCCTGTCCCCATTGTCCCCATTGTCCCCGTCCCATTGTCCCCTGTCCCCATTGTCCCCATTGTCCCCTGTTCCCATTGTCCCCTGTCCCATTGTCCCCGTCCCCATTGTCCCCATTGTCCCCGGTCCCATTGTCCCCTGTCCCCTATTGCCCCCTGTCCCATTGTCCCCTGTCCCCTGTCCCCCACTGTCCCCTGTCCCCCATTGCCCCCTGTCCCCATTGCCCCCTGTCCCCCTTTGTCCCCTGTCCCCCACTGTCCCCTGTCCCCCATTGTCCCCTGTCCCCCATTGTCCCCTGTCCCCATTGTCCCCATTGTCCCCTGTCCCCCATTGTCCCCTGTCCCATTGTCCCCTGTCCCATTGTTCCCCACTCTCCCCTGTCCCATTGTCCCCTGTCCCCATTGTCCCCTGTCCCCATTGTCCCCATTGTCCCCTGTCCCATTGTCCCCTGTCCCATTGTCACCTTTGTCCCCTGTCCCATTGTCCCCTTTCCCCATTGTCCCCTTTCCCCATTGTCCCCTGTCCCCATTGTCCCCTTTGTCCCCTGTCCCCATTGTTCCCCATTGTTCCCCATTGTCCCCATTGTCCCCTGTCCCCTGTCCCACTGTCCCCTGTCCCCTCACTGTCCCCTGTCCCATTGTTCCCCATTGTCCCCATCCCATTGTCCCCTGTCCCCATTGTTCCCCATTGTTCCCCATTGTCCCCATTGTCCCCTGTCCCATTGTCCCCATTGTCCCCTCACTGTCCCCATTGTCCCCATTGTCCCCTGTCCCCTCACTGTCCCCTTTGTCCCCCCAGCTCTCGTACATTGCCGAGGATGAGAACGGGAAGATCGTCGGTTACGTCCTGGCCAAGATGTGAGTGTGGGACCCCCCCCGAGTGTGGGACCCCCACCCCATTTTCTGCCCTTTTTGGGGGGTCCCTGGGGGGATTTGGGGGGGGTCTCACCCCTCTAACCCCCCCCTCCCTGTGCTCCTGTAGGGAGGAAGACCCCGATGATGTCCCCCATGGGCACATCACCTCCCTGGTGAGATGGGATTTGGGGGGTCCTGGGGGGTTTGGGGGGTCCTGGAGGGGTTTGGGGGGTCCTGGGGGGGTCCTGGAGGGGTTTGGGAGGCTCTGGGAGGGGTTTGGGGGGCTCTGGGAGGGGTTTGGGGGTCCTGGAGGGGTTTGGGGAGGTCCTGGGGGGGTTTGGGGGTCCTGAGAGGGTCCTGGAGGGATTTGGGAGGTCCTGGAGGGGATTTGGGGGGTCCTGGAAGGGTTTGGGAGGTCCTGGAGGGATTTGGGGGGCTCTGGAGGGGTCTGGGGGGGTCCTGGAATAGATCAGAGGCGTTTGAGGGGCCCTGAGGGGTTTGGGGGGCTCTGGGAGGGATTTGGAGGGGTCCTGGAGGGCTTAGGGGGTTCCTGAGAGGGTCCTGGGGGGGTTTGGGGGGCTCCTTGATGGGTTTGGGGGGGCTCCTTGGGGGTCTTTGGGGTCACCTGAGGGTTCGGGGGGGCTCTTGGGATGGGTTTGGGGGGGGGTTCATTGAGTGGTGCTATGGGGGTTTTGGGGTCCCTCGGGTGTTTTTGGGGTGTCCCATCCCATTTCTGGGGTTTCCCATCCTGTGTTTGGGGTGTCCCATCCCATTTTGGGGTTTCCCATCCCGTTTCTGTGGTGTCCCATCCCATTTTTGGGGTGTCCCACCCCGTTTTTGGGGTGTCCCACCCCGTTTTTGTGGTGTCCCATCCCATTTTTGGGGTGTCCCATCTCATTTTTGGGGTGTCCCATCTCATTTTTGGGGTGTCTCACCCCGTGTTTGGGTTCCCCTGGGTGTTTTTGGTGTGTCTCACCCCGTTTCTGTGGTGTCCCATCCCATTTTTGGGGTTTCCCATCCCGTTTTTGTGGTGTCTCACCCCATTTTCGGGGTGTCTCACCCCATTTTCGGGGTGTCTCACCCCATTTTTGGGGTGTCCCCCCCGTTTTTGGGATTTCCCATCCCATTTTCGGGGTGTCTCACCCCATTTTCGGGGTGTCTCACCCCATTTTCGGGGTGTCTCACTCTATTTTCGGGGTGTCCCCCCCGTTTTTTGGGCTCCCCAGGCGGTGAAGCGCTCCCACCGGCGCCTGGGGCTGGCGCAGAAGCTGATGGACCAGGCCAGCCGGGCCATGATCGAGAACTTCAACGCCAAATACGTGAGCCTGCACGTGCGCAAGAGGTGCCACCCCAAAAACCCCCTCAGGGACCCCAAAAAACCACCTCAGGGACCCCAAAAATACCCTTAGGGACCCCAAAAACCCCCTCAGGGATCCCAAAAACCCCCTCAGGGACCCCAAAAACCCCCTCAGGGACCTCAAAATACCCGGGGAACCCCAAAAACCCCCTCAGGGACCCCAAAATACCCTGGGGACCCCAAAAACTCCCCCAAAACATCCTGAGGGACCCCAAAACATCCTGAGGGACCCCAAAAACCTCCTCAGGGACCCCAAAAACCCCCTCAGGGACCCCAAAAACCTCCTCAGGGACCCCAAAATACCCTGGGGGACCCAAAAACCCCCTGAGGGACCCCAAATCTCCCTGAGGGACCCCAAAATACCCTCAGGGACCCCAAAAACCCCCTCAGGGACCCCAAAATACCCTGGGGAACCCCAAAAACCCCCTCAGGGACCCCCAAAATATCCTGGGAACCCCAAAAACCCCCTCAGGGACCCCCAAAAACCCCCTCAGGGACCCCAAAATACCCTGGGGACCCCAAAATATCCTGAGGGACCCCAAAACATCCTGAGGGACCCCTTAAGGAAACCTCAGATGACCCCAAACCCCTCAAGGAACCTTCAAGGAACCCTCAGGTGTCCCAAAACCCCTCAAGGAATCCTCAGGTGACCCCAAAACTCCTCAAGGAACCCTCAGGTGACCCCAAAACCTTCAAGGAACCCTCCCAAACCCTCAGGTGACCCCAAAACCCCTCAAGAAATCCTCAGGTGACCCCAAAACCCTCAAGAACTCCCTGAGGGACCCCAAAACCCCTCAAGGAACCCTCCCAAGCCCTCAGATGATCCCAAAATCCCTCAAGAAATCCTCAGGTGACCCCAAAACCCCTTAAGGAACTTTCCCAAACCCTCAGGTGACCCCAAAACTCCTCAAGAAATCCTCAGATGCCCCCAAAACTCCTCATGAAATCCTCAGGTGACCCCAAAACCTTCAAGGAACCTTCAAGAAACCCCCAGGTGTCCCCAAAACCCCCAAGGGACCCTCAGGTGACCCCAAAACCCTCATGAAATCCTCAGATGACCCCAAAATCCCTCAAGGGACCCTGAGGTGTCCCCAAAACCCCTCGAGGAACCCTCAGGTGACCCCAAAATCCTCAAGGAACCCTCGGGTGACCCCAAAACCCCTCAAGGAACTTTCCCAAACCCTCAGATGACCCCAAAATCCCTCAAGGAACCTTCAAGAAACCCTCAGGTGACCCCAAAATCCCTCAAGGAACCCTGAGGTGACCCCAAAACCCTTTAGGGCCCCCCCAAAATGACCCCACCCCATTTGTCCTTGGCAGTAACCGGGCAGCGCTGCACCTCTACTCCAACACCCTCAACTTCCAGTGAGTCTGGGGGGCTCTGGGGGGGTCAGGAGAAATTTTGGGGGGTCAGGAGAAATTTTGGGGGGTCTGGAGAAATTTTGGGGGGGTCTGGAGAAATTTTGGGGGGGTTTTGGGGGGTTTTGAAGGGATTTTGGGATGGGTTTGGGGGGCTCCTGGAGGGGTTTTGGGAGGGTCCTGTGGGGGTTTTTGGGTTCCCCTGGTGGTTTTTGGGGTGTCCTGTGCTATTTTTGGGGTGTTCTGTGCCACGTTTGGGGTGTCCCATGCCACGTTTGGGTTCTCCTGGGTGTTTTTTGGGGTGCCCCCCGTTTGTGACCCCCCAAATTCCCCCCAGGATCAGCGAGGTGGAGCCCAAGTACTACGCGGACGGGGAGGACGCCTACGCCATGAAACGGGACCTGAGCCAGATGGCAGAGGAGGTGCAGCCCCTGGGACCCCCCCAAAATCCTCTCCAACCCTGGGAAACCCTAAAAACATCCAGGGGACCCCAAAACGGGATGGGAGACCCCAAAAATGCCCATGGGAACCCAAAAACGCCCATGGGACCCTCACAAAAACCCCCAGGGAAACCCAAAAACCCCCAGGGGACCTCAAAACTGGCTGGGAGACCCCAAAAACCCCCATGGGAACCCCCAGGGGACCCCAAAATGGGCTGGGACCCCCAAAAATGCCCAGGGGAATCCAAAAAACCCCAGGAGACCCCAAAACTGGCTGGGAGACCCCAAAAACCCCCATGGGACCCCTACAAAAACCCCAGGAGACCCCAAAACGGGCTGGGAGACCCCAAAAACCCCCAGGGGGACCAAAAACCCCCAGGACACCCCAAAAACTCCCCAGGGGAACCCAAAATGGGCTGGGACACCCCAAAAGCTTCCCCAACCCCACCTGGGACCCCAAAAAAACCTCCTGGAGGAGCTTCCAGGGACCCCATAAAAACCTCCCCAACTCTGGGACCCCCCCAAAAACTCCTCATGAACCCCCAGGACCCCCCCAAAAACTCCTCATGAACCCCTGGGACCCCCCCAAAAACTCCTCATGAACCCCCAGCCCCACCCTGGGACCCCCCAAAATCCTCTCCAACTCTGGGAACCCTAAAAACATCCAGGGGACCCCAAAACGGGATGGGAGACCCCCAAAAATGCCCATGGGACCTTCACGAAAACGCCCATGGGACCCCCCACAAAAACCCCCAGGACACCCCAAAAACCCCCAGGGGAACCCAAAAAAACCTGCAGGACCCCAAAACTGGCTGGGAGACCCCAAAAACCCCCATGGGACCCCCACAAAAACCCCCAGGGGACCTCAAAATGGGCTGGGACCCCCAAAAATGCCCAGGGGAATCCAAAAACCCCCAGGAGACCCCAAAACTGGCTGGGAGACCCCAAAAACCCCCATGGGAACCCCCAGGGGACCCCAAAATGGGCTGGGACACCCCAAAAACGCCCAGGGGAATCCAAAAACCCCCAGGAGACCCCAAAACTGGCTGGGAGACCCCAAAAACCACCACAGGAACTCCCAGGGGACCCCAAAATGGGCTGGGACCCCCAAGAACCACCACAGGAGCCCAAAACCAACCAGGGGACCCCAAAACGGGATGGGAGACCCCAAAAATGCCCATGGGACCCCCACAAAAACCCCCAGGGAAACCAAAAAAACCCCCAGGAGACCCCAAAAACTCCCCAGGGGACCCCAAAACTGTCTGGGAGACCCCCACAAAAATGCCCATGGGAACCCCACAAAAACCCTCAGGGGACCCCAAAATGGGCTGGGACCCCCAAAAGCTTCCCCAACCCCATCTGGGACCCCAAAAACCTCCTGGAGGAGCTTCCAGGGACCCCATAAAAACCTCCCCAACTCTGGGACCCCCCCAAAAACTCCTCATGAACCCCCAGCCCCACCTTGGGACCCCCCAAAATCCTCTCCAACCCTGGGAACCCTAAAAACATCCAGGGGACCCCAAAATGGGATGGGAGACCCCAAAAACGCCCATGGGACCCCCACAAAAACCCTCAGGGGAACCCAAAACTGGCTGGGACCCCCAAGAACCACCACAGGAACCCAAAAACCCCCATGGGACCCCCACAAAAACCCCCGGGGAAACCAAAAACCCCCAGGAGACCCCAAAACGGGCTGGGAGACCCCAAAAACCCCCAGGGGAACCAAAAACCCCCAGGACACCCCAAAAACTCCCCAGGGGAACCCAAAATGGGCTGGGACACCCCAAAAGCTTCCCCAACCCCACCTGGGAGCCCGAAAACCTCCTGGAGGAGCTTCCAGGACCCCATAAAAACCTCCCCAACTCTGGGACCCCCCAAAAACTCCTCATGAACCCTCAGGACCCCCCCAAAAACTCCTCATGAACCCCTGGGATCCCCCCAAAAACTCCTCATGAACCCCCAGCCCCACCCTGGGACACCCCAAAATCCTCTCCAACCCTGGGAACCATAAAAACATCCAGGGGACCCCAAAATGGGATGGGAGACCCCAAAAACCCCCACGGGAACACCCAGGGGACCCCAAAATGGGCTGGGACCCCCAAAAACCACCACAGGAACCCAAAAACCCCCATGGGACCCCCAAAAACCACCACAGGAACCCAAAAACCCCCAGGGGACCCCTAAACTGGCTGGGAGACCCCCACAAAAATGCCCATGGGACCCCCACAAAAACCCTCAGGGGACCCCAAAACGGGCTGGGATCCCCAAAAACCCCCACGGGAACCCCACAAAAACCCCCAGGGAAACCAAAAAACCCCCAGGGGACCCCAAAATGGGCTGGGACCCCCAAAAGCTTCCCCAACCCCACCTGGGACCCCAAAAACCTCCTGGAGGAGCTTCCAGGGACCCCATAAAAACCTCCCCAACTCTGGGACCCCCCAAAAACTCCTCATGAACCCCCAGGACCCCCCCAAAAACTCCTCATGAACCCTCAGGACCCCCCCAAAAACTCCTCATGAACCCTCAGGACCCCCTCAAAAACTCCTCATGAACCCCTGGGACCCCCCCAAAAACTCCTCATGAACCCTCAGGACCCCCTGGGACACCCCCAAAATCCTCTCCAACCCTGGGAAACCCTAAAAACATCCAGGGGACCCCAAAACGGGATGGGAGACCCCAAAAATGCCCATGGGACCCTCACGAAAACGCCCATGGGACCCTCACAAAAACCCCCAGGGAAACCCAAAAACCCCCAGGGGACCTCAAAACTGGCTGGGACACCCCAAAACTGGCTGGGAGACCCCAAAAACCACCACAGGAACTCCCAGGGGACCCCAAAATGGGCTGGGACCCCCAAAAAGCCCCACGGGACACCAAAAAAAACCTGCAGGACCCCAAAATGGGCTGGGAGACCCCAAAAACGCCCATGGGACCCCCACAAAAATGCCCAAAAAAACCCCCAGGGGAACCCAAAATGGGCTGGGACCCCCAAAAGCTTCCCCAACCCCACCTGGGACCCCAAAAACCTCCTGGAGGAGCTTCCAGGACCCCTAAAAACCTCCCCAACTCTGGGACCCCCAAAAACCCTCCTGGGGGGCTTCAAGGGACCCCAAAATCCCTCCTGGGGGGCTTCCATCATCCCTGGGACCCCCAAAAAACCCTCCCTGTACCCCCACGGAACCCCAAAATCCCTCCTGGAGGAGCTTCCAGGGACCCCCAAAAAACCTCCCCAACCCTGAGACCCCCCAAAAACCCTCCCCATATCCCATGGGACCCCAAAATCCTCCTGGGGGGCTTCCATCATCCCTGGGACCCCCCAAAAACTTCCCCATATCCCCTGGGACCCCCAAAAACCCTCCTGGAGGAGCTTCCAGGGACACCAAAAAACCTCCCCAACCCTGAGACCCCCCAAAAACTTCCCCATATCCCATGGAACCCCAAAAAAACCTCCTGGAGGGGCTTCCAGGGACCCCCAAAAATCCTCCCCAACCCTGAGACCCCCCCAAAAAACCCTCCTGGGGAAACCCACCCCCCCTGGGCCCCCCCAAAAACCCTTCCCAACCCACCAGGAACCCCCAAAAAAACCTCCTGGAGGGGCTTCAAGGGACCCCAAAAACCCTCCTGGGACCCCCAAAATCCCTCCTGGAGGAGCTTCCAGGGACCCCCAAAAATCCTCCCCATCCCACCCTGAGATCCCCAAAAAACTTCCCCATATCCCCTGGGAACCCCCAAAATCCCTCCTGGGGGGGATACCCCCCACCCTGGGACCCCCAAAATCCCTCTTGGAGGGGCTTCAAGGGACCCCAAAATCCCTCCTGGGGGGGATTCCACTCAGCCTGGGACCCCAAAAATCCTCCCTATACCCCCTAGGACCCCCAAAAACCCTCCTGGAGGAGCTTCAAGGGACCCCCAAAAAACCTCCCCAACCCTGAGACCCCCCAAAAACTTCCCCATATCCCCTGGGACCCCCAAAAAAACCTCCTGGAGGGGCTTCAAGGGACCCCAAAAACCCTCCTGGGGGGGATTCCAGGGACCCCAAAAAACTTCCCCAAATCCCCTGGGACCCCCAAAATCCCTCCTGGAGGAGCTTCCAGGGACCCCCAAAAATCCTCCCCAACCCTGAGACCCCCCCAAAAACCCTCCTGGGGGAAACCCACCCCCCCTGGCCCCCCCCAAAACACTCTCCACCCCCCCTGGGACCCCCCAAAATCCTTCCTGGGGGTCTTCCACACCCCCCCCCCCCAATTTTAACCCTTTGTGTCCCCCCAGCTGAGGAAGCAGCTGGAGCAGAAGGAGCGGGGTCGGCCCCCAGCCCCCAGCGAGCCCCCCCGAGGTGGGGATGGGGTCTGCGGCTCTGGGGGGACCCCCACGAACCCCCCGACCCCGGGGGGAGCCCCCCAACAGCAGCAGGAGGACGGGGGGGGGGACAGCAAAGACCTGAGCGAGGTCAGCGAGACCACGGAGAGCACGGACGTGAAGGACAGCTCGGAGGCCTCGGATTCCGCCTCATAGAGACCCCCCAAAAATCAATGGGGAACCCCAAAAAAACATCCCTGGGACCCCCGGGAGCCCCTGCAAAAAAATCTTTGGGGTTTTGGCCAAAAAATCCCCGGGAGTCCCCTCAAAAATCGCTGGGATCCCCAGGAGGCAGCGCAAAAAATCTCCCGGATCTCCCGCAAAAATCCCTGGGATCCCTCCCTAAAAATCCCCGGGAGCCCCCCCAAAAATCTCTGGGATCCCCAGGAGCCCCCCCAAAAATACTCTGAGGTCTCCAGGAGCCTGCCCAAAAATCCCCAGGAGCCCCCCCCCCAAAAATATCTGGGACCCCCAGGGCCCACCCCAAAAATCCCTGGGATCCCCCCCCAAAAAATATCTGGGATTTTCCCCAAAAAATCCCTGGGACCCCTTCCCAAAAATCCCTGGGAGGTCCCCCAAAAAATCTCTGGGATCCCCAGGAGCCCCCCCTAAAAATCTCCAGGAATCTCCCCAAAAAAATCTCTGGGAGCCTCCCCAAAAATACTCTGGGGTCTCCAGGAGCCCCCCCAAAAATCCCTGGGATCCCCCCCCAAAAAATCTCCCGGACCTCCTGCAAAAATCCCTGGGACCCTTCCCCAAAAATCCCCAGGAGCTCCCCCAAAAAATCCCTGGAGCCCCTAAAAAATCTCTGGGATCCCCAGGAGCCCACCCCAAAAATCCCTGGGATCCCCCCCAAAAAATCTCTGTGACTTTCCCCAAAAAATCTGCAGGAGCCCCCCCAAAAATCCCTGGGATCCCCCCAAAAAATCTCTGGGGCCTACCCCAAAAAATCTGCAGGAGCCCCCCCAAAAATCTCCAGGAACCTCCCCAAAAAATCTCTGGGAGCCCCCCCAAAAATCCCCGGGAGCCTCCCAAAAAAATCTCTGGGAGCCCCCCCAAAAAAATCATTGGGACCCCTGGGAACTCCCACAAAATCCCTGGGAGCCCCCCAAAAAATCCCCAGGAGCCCCCCCAAAATTTCTGGGACCCCCAGGAGCTCCCCACAAAAACCCCTGGGAGGCTCCACAAAAAAATCTCTGGGACCCCAGGGAGCCCCCCCCAAAAAATCCCCAGAAGCCCCCCCAAAAAAACCCCTGGGACCCTTGGGACCCCCCCAAAAATCCCTGGGACTTCCAGGAGTCCCCCCAAAAAATCTCTGGGAGCCCCTGCAAAAAATCCCTGGGACCGTCCCCCAAAAAATCCCTCGGAGCCCCCCAAAAAATCTCTGGGACCCCCGGGAGGCCCCCCAGAACTCCTGGGACCCTCCGGAGCCCCCCCAAAATCTCAGGGACCCCCGGGAGCCCCCCAGGACCCCTCGGTGCTGGCGGGGGGCATTAAAGCCCCTCTGTCTCCAGGCTCGGCTCTTTCTTTGTGGGGGGCTCGTGGATTTTTGGGGGTCTCGACCCCTCCCCAAAGGGTTTAAAGCTTTGTGGGCGGGGCTTGGGTTGACCACGCCCTCGATGGAAATGGGTGGTGCCGCGGGGGCGTGGTCTATGCAGATTTGCCTCTCGCTGATTGGCGGAGACGCGCGGTTGTGGCGCCCCCCTGGCGGAAGGACGGGGAAGGGCAGGCGGCGCTGATGGGGCGGGAACGGGATCGGGATTGGGAACGGGAACGGGACCGGAGCCAGGCTGGGACAGCGGGAACGGGGCCAGGAACGGGATTGGGAACGGGACCGGAGCCAGGCTGGGACAGCGGGAACGGGATCGGGATTGGGAACGGGACCGGAGCCAGGCTGGGGCAGCGGGAACAGGGCCAGGAACGGGATCGGGATTGGGAACGGGACCGGGAACGGGACCGGAGCCAGGCTGGGGCAGCGGGAACAGGGCAGGAACGGGATCGGGATTGGGAACGGGACCGGAGCCAGGCTGGGACACTGAGAACAGGAACAGAACCGGGAACGAGATTGGGACCAGCACCAGGACGGGACGGGAACGGGATCAGAGCGAGGCTGGGGCAGCAGGAATGGGAACGGGATCGGGAACGAGACCGGGAACGGGAACTGGAATGGGAACAGAACCAGAACTGGAGGGAGGCTGGGGTAGCAGAAACAAGGCCAGGAACGGGATCAGGACCGGGACCAGGATTGGGATCGGGAACTAGACCAGGACTGGAGCAAGGCTCGGACACCGGGAATGGGATCGGGACCAGAGAGAGGCTGGGGCACCGGGAACTGGATTGGGACCAGGACTGGGATTGGGACCGGAGCGAGGTTGGGACAGCGGGATCAGGATCGGGATGGGAGAAGGGCTGAGGCAGCAGGACTGGAACTGGAACCAGGACCAAAGCGAGGCTGGGGAAACAGGAACGGGATCTGGACCGGGACTGAGACCGGGACCAGAGCCAGGCTGGGGCAGCAGGACCAGAACCAGGAATGGGATCAGGACTGGGACCAGAGCCAGGCTGGGGCAGCGGGAATGGGACTGGAACCAGGACCAAAGCGAGGCTGAGGAAGCAGGAACGGGATCGGGACTGGGATTGAGACCGGGACCAGAGCCAGGCTGGGGCAGCGGGACCAGAACCAGGAATGGGACCGGGACTGGGACCAGAGCGAGGCTGGGACACCGGGAATGGGACTGGGACCGGGATTGGGACTGGAGAGAAGCCAGGGCAGTGGGACTGGGATCGGGAACAGGACAGGGACTGGAGCAAGGCTGGGACACCGGGAATGGGACTGGGACTGGGATTGGGACTGGAGTGAGGGTGGGACAGGGGGAACGGGGCCAGGAACGGGATTGGGACTGGAGTGAGGGTGGGACAGGGGGAACGGGGCTGGGAACGGGATTGGGACTGGAGAGAAGCTGGGGCAGCAGGAACAGGGACCGGGAATGGGACCGGGATTGGAGCGAGGCTGGGGCAGCAGGAATAGGATTGGGACCGGGATTGGGACTGGAGTGAGGGTGGAACAGCAGGAATGGGGCCAGGAACGGGATTGGGACTGGAGTGAGGGTGGGACAGCGGGAACGGGGCCAGGAACAGGGCCAGGAACGGGATTGGGACTGGAGAGAAGCTGGGGCAGCAGGAACAGGGACCGGGAATGGGACCGGGATTGGAGCAAGGCTGGGGCAGCAGGAATGGGATTGGGACCGGGATTGGGACTGGAGTGAGGGTGGGACAGTGGGAACGGGGCCAGGAACGGGATTGGGACTGGAGTGAGGGTGGGACAGGTGGGAACGGGGCTGGGAACGGGGCTGGGAATGGGGCCAGGAACGGGACAGGGACTGGGAACAGGACAGGGATCGGGACCAGAGCCAGGCTGGGACACCGGGAATGGGACTGGGACTGGAGCAAGACTGGGGCACCGGGAATGGGACCAGGACTGGAGCAAGACTGAGGCAGCGGGAACAGGGACCACGAACGGGATTGGGACTGGAGTGAGGGTGGAACAGTGGGAATGGGGCTGGGAACGGGGCCAGGAACGGGACTGGGACTGGAGTGAGGGTGGGACAGGTGGGAACGGGGCTGGGAATGGGGCCAGGAATGGGACAGGGACTGGGAACAGGACAGGGATTGGGACCAGAGCCAGGCTGAGATACCAGGAACGGGACCGGGACCGGAGCAAGCCTGAAAGGGATGGAAATTGGGAGAGGGGAACCAGGACCGTGAGATGGAGGCACCAGGGATGGGATGGAAATGGGGCAGGGGAGTGCCAGAACCGGCGAGGATGAGGAGAATTCCAGCACAAATTCTGGGAGATCCCAGGAACAGGGGAGTAAAACCACCCTGAAATCGCCCCGCCAGCTCCCTTGGGGTTCGAGGGGAGATCTCTGTAAATCTGTTAAAACTTTCTCTTTATTATAATATAACTTTAGATATAAAAAGCAAATTTTACAAGTTTTTAACCCAAAATGTACAAAAAAATGGTCAGGAAATTGTTGAGTTTCTCCCCTTTGTGTGTGATGGGTGGGTGTGGGGGAGGGATTTAGGGAGATGCCCCCCAGCTGGGGGAGATTTGGGGGTCCCCAAAAAAAAAGGGGGGAAAGGGGGGGGGTGAAAGGCCTTAGAACACCCTGAGCTGTGTTGGGGACCCCCAGCCCCTCATTACCCGCAATTCCAGGGGGGGTGGAGATGTGCAGCACCCCCAAATCCCCCCCCCCACATTAAATTCTGCCCCTGTTGGGGTCTTTCTGCCCCACGGGGGGGTTGGGGGGCTCCTCTGTTGGGATTTCTTCCACACCACTGCCTGAAAGGGGGGAAAATTGGGGGGCACAAAATCAGCTCCCACTCCCCTTCCAAGAGAATTATGGGGAGAGGGGTCTCACCCCCCATTTCCTCAGGTTTTGGGGTCCCCCCTGAGCTTTGGGGTGTCCCCAGGGTGGAGAGGGAGGGAGGGGTCTCTTACCATCCCCATCATCTGGGATCTCCTGCACATCCTCATCATCATCCAGGATCACCACGCAGTCCTCGCCGCTCTCACTGGGGAAAATTGAAAATTTTCATTCATGGGCGGGGAGGTTGAAAATTGAAAATTTGGGGTTCCCTCCCTCCCCAAACCCCCCCCTCTGGGGTGCAGCTCACCTGTCAGGGGGTCCCTCAGCGCCCTCCCCCAGCAGGTAGAACTGGAGAGGGTTGGGCCAAAGCTCCTCCTTGATGATCTGGAGAGGGACATGGGGGAGTTCAGGGGGGTACTGGGAGGTGGAACTGGGAGCACTGGGAGCACTGGGAGGTGGAACTGGGAGCACTGGGAGCACTGGGAGCACCGGGCTCACCTCAGCCACACGATCCCCTGCAGGGAAGCTGTGATCCCCAAACCAAGCAAAGAAGCTCCGAGGGGCCGGGGGTCCCTTGTGGCGGCGGGACCGGGGGTCCTGGCCCTGCCACCACCGGATGGGGGTCGAGTGGGACACCAGGTGACCTGAGAGGAGGGGACAACACACCATGAGGTCGCTCTGAAGCCCCCAAACCCCCTCTTTGAGCTGGTTCCCCCCCATCCTTGCCCCCAACACCCACCGGAGGGGCCGCGCACGAACTCCTTGGCCACGACGTCGTTCTGGAAATAGGGGTTGACGCTGAAGAAGAACCGGATCCGACAGCCAGGGCGGCTCTGCCCGAACTCCTCCACCTGCAAACCCACCTGTGTCACCTCAGGGAGGTGGGGGGGGGGCTCACAGCACCCCAAATGTCCCCCCCAAACCCCTCCAGGCACCTGCAGGCTCGTCATGTAGCTCAGCGCGTCCTCGTCGCGGTCGCTGATCATGGCCGAGAGCTGCGGGTGGTTCAAGAACTGGGCACGAGGAGAGGGTCAAGGAAAGATCTGCAAGTTCCTCTGTACCCCCTCCTCCCCCAGACCCCAAAATTCCAAAATTTCACCCCTCCCCAGGGATACAGCAGTGACCCAGAAGCCGGGGATGTGCTGGATGAGGCGGTTGCGGCGCTGCAGGTGCGGCCGGCGGCGGAGGCAGAAGCGGGCGCGGAGGCGGCGGAAAGCTCGGGCTGCCTCCTCCTCCACGGCCTCCAGCTCCAGCTGAACGGCCTCCAGAGCCGCCAGGTACCTCGCAGGGCCTTCATCCCGCTCCTCCTCCTCCTCCTCCTCCTCCTCCTCGTCCTCCTCGTCCTCATCCAGCGAGATCACCGCGCTCTTCCTCGGCCGCCGGGACCCCCGTGGGCTCCAGGACCCCGGGGCTCTGCCCCACGCAGGGTCCCGTGGGTTCCAGGCCCTCCTCGGGCTCTGTGGTGAACTCCACGCCTCCTTTCTGCTCTCTGTCCCACCTCACGTGGCCGGTGATGGTGCTCTCCAGGCTTTCTGTGTCTTCTCTGGTGGCTTCCAAGCCCTCCAAGCTGGTGTCCACGTTTCTCTCCCTCTCTACGCCGGCCCTGGGTCTCGTAGGGGGCTTTGCTTTGCGCCTGTTGGTGCTTTTCTGCTCGCCACCAGGACAAGCATCACTCTCCACGCTCCCCAGGACCTTGGGGGTGGTCTCCAAACCCCCTTTGCTCCTTCTGCCCTGCTCCAAGCAGCGAGTGACAGCCGTCTCCAGGCTCCCTTTGCGCCCATTGGTGCTCCCAAGGCTCCCTGTGACCTCCCTGCTGGTCTCCAGACCACCCTGGGCCTCTCTGGTGGTCTCCAGGCTTCCTTTGGATTCCGTGGGAGTCTCCAGGACACTCTTGTTCTTCTCCAAGGAGTGTGTGGCAGCAATTTCCAGATCTCCCATGTCCTCTCTGGTGGTCTCCATCCCCTCTTTGACATCTCTGGTGGTCTCCATCCCCTCTTTGACCTCTCTGGTGGTCTCCAAACCCCCTTTTTCCTCCTCTGAGCACTCACTCCTTGTGTTCTCCAGGCTCCCTTCGCATCCGTTGATGGTCTCCAGCTCTCCCTTGGCCTCCTCGGTGCTCTCTGAGCTGGCTGTGACCTCCCCG